AAGCTCACATCAAGCTACATATATTGTACGAATTTGACATTGCTGACAGCACGTTATACAAGAAGAAATACAAATAAATGCTCCAAGTCGACTTTTTCGGAAACCACCGGCCACACTACACAAGCATGTTTAACTGGCAACTGCAGCTTGCATGCTCGTCAATTTCAAGTACCACACATGGAGCACTTTCCAAGTCAGTCTTCAAAGATACTACCCCTCAGATAATCAAATAGAAATCTCCACCCATTAACCTATATAATTAAATATCTTTCATAGGAAACAGCATCGCAAAAGACAATACTTTGCCATTTAAAGAGCACTGATTCAATGTTTAAGTGTGGTAGAAAATAATGTCTAGAAAACACATTTGCAACTTGGTGGTCTCCTGTTCGCAGTCAGCCAACATACATTCAAGTATATTTCTTTGTTTTCTGTATTCTTTTCTTTTTTGCTTTCCCATTTCTCTAGGCTTCCACTCTGTTTATACATTTTCTTCCTCTTTTTCCCTGTAGTCATTCTTTTGCCTCCTTTCTTTCTCTCTCTTTCTATTTCTCTTTTTCATTCTCACTCTCTCTGTGTCTCTTCTTACATATTCCTCCTTGACAAAATTCATTCTCCCCTCTCTCTCTCTCTACCTCAACCCACTACTTTTTGGCAACCAATTGCTATACGGTCATTCCACACAATACGTCCCAGCCATTTTGGCGACCATCTCAAATGTATTTGAAAAAAATTGTGCTGGTGTACTGCATTGAAAACAGTGTGTTTAAATGGTAGAATATTTGTGAGAGAAAAAATTTTTTGGTCCCGTGGCTGCCTTTTGAACGTCCCGGAATGTTGCTTGGGTGTTGTTTGTAGAAATTTTTATTTTAGAAGTACTGCTTCTTCTTTCTATACCAAAATTTCGTCTACATGTCGAGTAAAGATTCTTGTGTAAGGTGTTTAAAGCTCAGTAATATTACTGTAATTTTACTGGCACATACGCCTCCAAGAATTTAGCCAAAATGCATTGTTTGCATCTTTTTATTGCAATTCTGCACTTTGTATGAATATCCGAGTAATGAATACTTACTCCACAAAAGGTATATTTTGAGGAAAAATTATTTTTGGACCTTTCAGCCTGCTAAACTTTACGACAAAAAATCACAAATTTTAGCAAAATCAGCATTTTTGCCCATGTTGATACGCATTTTGTACCACGTGGTCTAATTAAAAATCACGTTTATACCCAATCGAAAGCAAATAGACAGTTATTTTCTTATGGGATATCTTATCATTACAATTTTTGTTTTAAGAAAGGAAATAACTTTTGAATTTTCCCATTGACGGCAATGGGAAATTTCAAGGTGGCAGCTGTTGTACGACTAAATAGGGAGATAGGCGCTGGATTCACACGACGGACCAAATCACGATTCGATCCCGGCGATTGTGTGCTACGTCACCACATGTCACCCGTTCCTGCGCTCTTCCTTTGGTTTGTGGGGAGCGATTCGTGAAACAATGGAGACCCAAATCGCAGTTGGAATCGCTAGGTATTTTTGGTGAAAGAAACCAAACTTCAGACGGCAAAATGCTTTTAGCTGGCAACCACCGTTCTTTCCAATCCAATCCAAGTCACTTTTGCTGTGAAGAGCGCGCAATACAAAGGCGACGCTACTTTAATCTGAACTGTGCATGCAGTACGAACTTACGGACGAAATAATGGAGAGCGTCGCAGGGCCAGTGCCGTACGGCTCGACTCAACGACGAGGCCACATTCTTTTTTTTTTTTCCGTCTCTAGTAGAGCAGTTTCCTGCTCTGTGGGACCCTAGCCGTGACGATTATGCCAACAGTATTTCTCTATGCCAAGACGCAGCAAGCGTTCGTACCGTTCTACATCACTGGCGAGTAGCTCTTCAAACAGCAGGTTTTGCATCCCAACAAATTTTCTTGGTAAGCCATGACTTTACCCAGACCGCTCTCTTGCACTGCAGAAGTCCGATCTCCTCTTCGTTGCCTGCTGACTATTCGAAAGCAACAGCCATCGCAGCAAAGTGGTGTTAGCACGCGACGTCCATTTTGCGCAACGTAACCTCGACAGCAGAGCAGCCGCGGCCGTCTGCGCCGCCGCCTACGCTCCTGGGAGCGAGAGTAGGGCCGATCTGTCCCAGCCGTCTCCACTGTCATATGAATGCGAGCCGCGGAGAAATCTCGAACACGTCACATTTCACGTCATTGATCCATCCGTAATCACGTCCGTCGTGTGAATCCAGCATTACTAGATTTTTTGGAGAGAAATGCCGAAACACCTCCAGCGTTGGCTTTCTTTTCCAGCGTTGGCGAAGCTCCTTAAGACCTTACGATGTCCGCCGTCTCCCGTCTGTCCGTAACACCATGTAACCTTCAACTTATAAGCAACAGAGGGCGCTGTGGTTAATTGTAGATGTGATGGCTCCGCTGTCAACGCTATATATATATATATAACCACGTTCCATACCACACATTCTCTTCTCTCATATGGATGAAGACGAACGCAGGAAAGCGCAACGTGCTGAGTATCAGCGTCGCCGTCGACGGGAAGCTACTGCGGAGACAAAAGAGAAAGAAGCGGATGCAAAGCGGCGACGGCGACAACAAAGTTCTACACCACAGACTAGGGCTAAGGAAGCAAAGGCTAAGAGGGAAAAACGCCAAGCTGACGCGCAGTTGAGACAACTTGAAGCAAATGCAAGGCGGCAATACCGACAAGAAAATTCTACACCAAAGACGATAGCTAATGAAGCTGTGATTATAAAGTCAAAACGTAACCCGGAACTCGAAACCTCAAATCAGCTATAAAGAAGAATCACCGCTATATCACAATCGGTCTCAGCACTATCTCTTTGAATAAAAAAAATATATAATTATCACAACCACAATCAGTCTCAGTACTATCTCAACTTTAATCACAATAATCACCTCCGAAAGCTTCGCCCCATAATTATCTTCAAACAGCTTGAAATGCAGTGATTTTTTCTTTACGTCTTTATCGCCTGTACTGCTGCGTTGGCCGCGTGCCCTCGCCTAATAACTGCATCACCGTGACTGTGGTTATGCGCACGCGTCTTCAAAATCATGTCGTATTTTTTATGCTATCTATGACTGCATCTGCGAGACTGTCCGCAGCGTTTGTGGAGAGCAACGTCACTGTGACAGGTCGGGCCTAGGACACGTGCACACTTTCATTGTAGTTCTGTCAGTTACATTACATGATCATGTCAAAAGTGACCGTAATTTGGTCCACAACGGTTTTGGCAAACGATAACCACAGTGCAAGCGCTGGCTGCGCGCGTCTTTCCAAAGCTTTGAGCAAGCTGCTCTCAGCCTTCCTTCGAGGCGGATCGAAGGCTGCTTGCGGCCTTTGACCCGCCGCGATGAGGAAAAGTGCTCGGAACATTCGAATTTTGGCCCAATTGACATAGTGTAATTAGGCTGGGGATTTCCACAAATTCGTATCAGCCAGTTTCGCATCACTGAGATTCTACTGTACATTTAGATGAGCGCCTTTTTAACTCACTTACAATAAAATGCAATGGGTTCGCAAAAAGCCTAGATCGAACTGGGCTGCATTTTTGTCAATGTGGCCAGATCCCGCACAGTAATTTTGATTTCTGGGACATTTTCCTGACAGCTGTTCAAGCATAGGAACTGGTCAAAATCCGGGAGTCTCCCGAAAAATCTGGGAGACTTGGCAGGTATGCGTAGTAATAGTTCTCTCAAAATCTCACTTAATTATGATGCTCACTCATCCAAAACACCATATACCACATACAGTTAAACCCCTTTATTAGAGGCATACTCCGGGCAGCAGTTCTTGTCTTTTAGATATATATGAGATGTCTCTTATAAGCAAGGTACCTTGTATGCATTTTCTTATTGACCTGTATTTAACTGTAAGCACACTGATGTCTCTTATGTCAGTGTCTCGTATAAAGGGGTTCCACTGTACCATAAACCATAACAGAAAGTCAGAGAGAACGGCATTTGCATTGGTAAGGCGCTGATACATCCTTACTGCCGTTATAGCGTATGCTTGAAAAACACTGTTACTTCATATATTTGTCCTAGAAACCAATGCTGATTCTTTAGTGCTATGTGTTCGTCGTTGGACCCCGTGATACGGGCAGAATGAACATATCACTTCTCTGTCTGCATTGAATTCTCTCAAGGTGCCATGCCTATGATAAATAAATACCACAAAAGAAAAAAAAAACTGAATAACCATGTGGTTATGATACTCTCGTGGATAGGTGGTGTCGATCTTGCCTCACCGCAAAATTTTCTTTTTGCAAAAAATTTATTTTTCTCTATAGTATCTCTTTCTCTTGCTCTCTCTTTACTCATTCTTTCACCAATTGAAGTCATTGTATCCCGAAGCAGAAAAACAAGTGAATGTACTCTGAAGCAAAGGAGCAAGAGAGTGAAGACAGCGTGTGCTGGTTCGTGATTATGATAGTTTTCTTTCTACGACGCACAACAAACCTCGAGCATGCCAGCTCTACATGATATTATCAACTGTCCCTTCCGCACGCGGTTGGTGTCTGCGCCGCACACTTTCCTGCCCCTCCGGCGGGTGCCTTGAAGTGAAACCCAACATGCCGCATAGTCACGTGCCTGACCCGGTCGGCCATCCGCCTTGTTTTGCAAGGTGTGCTACGTGTGTGTGTGTGCCTGTTGAATGCCGTAGAACGCGTTAAGAGGAAAAAAAATGCCGTTCCATGCGTTAACGTTACAGTTCCACCAATCCTGAATGGAACGGTCACATTCCTTCATTCCTCCCAAAAAGAACTAGTTCCTGGAATGTCATTCCTTGGAACAATCTTCCATACAACACTGGCACCTTCCAATGAGACAACAAAACAGTTGAAGAAGACAGCACCGGGGCTGGAAATAGCAGGGTGGTGGGACATCAACTCAGAGCACCATTCCTCCTATAACTGCGCCTCCTGTGTTTAATCGCTGAACTCAAAAAGCAACTGACCTTCATGCGACTCCTCTGGCGTCTTTTTCTTCTTGCTTTCTTCTGGCCATTTACTCGCTCTCGTAGTCCAACTAAGTTCTTTAGACCACCACGCCTGAATACACGAACACTGCAAAATATTTAAAAATTGAAAGCACAACAACATATAGATACATGAAAAAAAAGAAAAAAAGAACAAAAAAGCGGGTCCAGTACAGAGAGTACTGTTCCATTTCTTGGCTCGCACATCTTGAGCTACATATCTCTTCTTTTGCATAGGCCAGCTGTATATGATGGTCACACACTTTTATTACTTTCTTTTAAAGACGATAGTCTTTCTTGGGGACCTTCGACACAAAAATTTTGGTCTGTCTGTCTGTACATTTGTCTGTCTACTCTTAACGCCATCGGGTAGTTGAAACGGCCGACTTCATCAGCAGCGCCCATTAATGTTGCTCAAAGTTGAGCGTTCATGCTTGTGCAATTGTCAATTAAAAAGCAATTATTGCGCATGTCTGGGGCACCATAACAACACCTATATATTCTGCATGTGCGTCTTTTACTAAAGAAGGCATACGTAAGAAATTTTAAGGCCCGTAGTGCTTATCACGCTGCGCTGGCCATGCAACGCTTGCACGGAACGGGGAGTGTTTCTAACGCTTTGCTAAGACGAGACAGTGGTGGCACCTACCTATCGCCTTGCGTTCTACACCTTATCACTTCTGAGATGAGCGTGCACACCCGTCTCAAAGCCACGCGCTTTGTTTTCTAAGCAAACTGCCAGATGACGCTTGTGTCTCACGTGTGACGTGACTTGATGCGCTCGTTCGCCTCCGCTGCACGCTCGAGGCACTCTAACACAGTGTCTCCATAATACCACTCACCGATTTTCTTGCGCAGAACATCAAATAAATGTCTTCACTTTATTCACACGCAAAACTATCGTCTTTCGACGACATTTGCAGAAACATGCAGATTCGGGGCCAATTTTTTTTTTTTACAATTCAACTTGATGCCAACTATGCTGAATTTTTCGACTGTTTGAGACAAACAAGTCTATTACCTTGAAAAAAAAAAAAAACGCCAAATTTTAAAAAGACGGAGAATAGACTGAGGGGCCAGTTTTCTTTAGAGGCACAACCTATAAAGCCAACACATTATGACGACAACAAAAGCATAGGGGGCATCACTTTTAGTTTGCATCTGATGTGATGTAATTATTTTTCATATGTTCGCACCATACATGTAAATGTAAATAAACCAGTTTAGACACTTTTGTTATGACTTACATATCTATGTAGCATCTTTTGCCATCGCACATTCATTCAGCTATAAAGTTTATATGCATGTTCATGTACACTGTGTTTCATTCTATTATATCCATGTAGGCACCTACAGCATGCTCCCACCCACACTACCCTGCAAAGCCTTGTGCAAAGACAGCATTACTTATATGTGAATAAAATAAAAGATAACATGGAGATCTGACACAAGAGACCCTTCATACTCATTGGCTGAACCATGAACAGTGTGCTTGAAACAGTGTTTGCGGTTCAGGTCAGGAAAGCGGTGGCAACTATTCGACGAAGCCTAAAAGGCTTGTAATGAAAACCAGCAGATAAAGAAGCCAAGAAAGCTATATGGGAACATAACTGTACAGTTTTAAGTGTACCGTATTTACTCGATTCTACCGCGCCCTCGATTGTAACGCGCGGCCGGTTTCCACGACAAAAAAAAAAACAAACTAAGACATCGGTTGCAACGCGCACTCTTTTTTCTCGTTGGCTCGCTTGATCACACCACTCAGGAAAACAACTCTTTTTGAGAGCGTCTTCCGTTTAAATATGAAGTACGGGGGAAGCTTATGCCTATCTGACGTGCAACGGAGCATTGCTGTCACTCTAGTTTTACCGTGGCCCGATGTCAGTACACGAACTTGCTTCGCCCCCTTCTCCTCGACGGTTGTGGTGCCAGGCATGTCGAAGTAAAGAGGCGTCTGATCGGCATTCCCGATTTGCCCAAGCAGGTAGCCGTTGTTGTGCCGCAAAATTAGGAGGAACCTCTGAAGACTCTGAAGCTTTTCTTCGTACTCCTCTGGCAACTTCCGGCATATGCCCGTTCGCCTTCGGAGGGAAAAGCCTTTCCTCTTCATAAAGTTCGTTAGCCAGCACCTGCTCGCTTTAAAATGGCTCTGCATTAGCCCTTTTTCTAAGGCTAACTGCATAGCCTGCACTTGGAGCAGTTTTGTCGTCACGGGCCGCTGTGCCGCTCACTGCTTAATCACATACTCGCCAAGCAGCGCTTCAATTTGTGGAAACCGACCCTGCTGTGGTCCACTGAAGCCTTTGCTTGAATCTTTGCTGCCGACAATATTTTGCTTTTGTTTCCGCCAGTCCCGCACGCACGTTTCGGGAACTCCGAATGACCGCGATGCGGCCCGATTTCTGTCCGTTCCGGCACACGCGATGACTTTTCTTTTAGAAAAGCATTGTGGTGCACTCGTCGAGTTTTTGGAGTCGGCCTTACCATGCCGTCGATGCTAATGTACTCCAAGATGACGAACTCCTCAGCACACGTATGAAGGGCCGCACATGGGAAACACATAGGCAGAAATGACCGACGCGCCATGCGGGCACACGTAGGGGGCGGCCATTCCGTAAGTGGCGATGGCAATAGAATGACCATATTCATTTTTTTTTTCGTGCTCGATTCTAACGCGCATGCGATTTATTAACTCTCTTAACCGGAAAAAAGGTGCGTGTTAGATTCAAGTAATTACGGTATTCTAATTGTGAAATAAATGTGAAAAAGTAACATAGACGAAAAAACAACATGCCACCCGCAGGGACTGAAGCTGCAACCTTCAAATTATCTGCCCAATGCTCTTCCAATTGAGCTATGGAGGTAATCATACTCTCGGCTACTTTATCAGGTATTATCTGTGAAACGATTTAGCTCCAACCAAAAAGCACGTGAAGATGCGTAAACCCGACGTTTCAGAACAGACTAGGTTCCTTCCTCAGGGGGGACTGTGGCTACAATGCAGCGTTGTCTTCAAAGCACTTGCGTGGCGATTAATGACCCCCCCTCTCTCTTTCTCGTTTTGCCGTGGAGCGTAGTCCATGTACATACATCGGGGGAAAAGTTCGGGGAGAGTGGTTGTTGTTTTTAGACGCAAGCTATGATGGCACTGAAAATGAAAGGTAATCTTGCAGCTTCTTTTAAATCAGCTGCTAAGCTAAGTAAAGCCCCGTTTTTTTTTTCTTTCCCTCTTTTTTTTGGGGAGGTGTGTGTCCATACATGCACGCAATGCTAAACCACACACGGCGTTTATAGTCGCAGTAATAACAAGGAAAGAAAATGCAAGGTAGTCATTTCTCTGCTCGCTGTGCATGTTCAGATGTGGCCTATAGAAAAAAGCTCGTATTATATGTATATGTTGCCCTTCCTGCCCCAAGCACAGCGCTCCAGCAATCGAGATAAGAATGCTGACCTCTGTAAAATTTCTGTATGCCATCCGTTTCCACCCTTCCATGCTTGCGATCGCTACTAGGTTATAGTAATTATACACCTGATGAAGGTTTATGCAAAATTCTGACAATCTCCAACATACCACAGCTCTAACTTTAGTTAGAATGGGCTACGGATATGACAAAACTTCCTCAAAGTATTTTTCAGTTCATTGTAGTGAGTGTTCATAAGTATAGAGTAACATTATAGGGCAAAGCTGTGCATAGTTCAATGGCGCCAAATGCTTATAATTCGGAGGGATTCAGCCGCGCACCAGTTAACTCTGACAACTCCAGAGGGCTATTCAAACTCCCATGTTTTTAGTCGCACGATCTCAGCAGCTTAAGGCGCGAGCTCTCTTGCCACAGCAGATGGTGGAACTGTAGTTTTGGAAAAACCAAACGAACTACAGTAGAATATGATCATGATGATAGCGAGTGAGGGGGAAGTAGGAAGGTGGTTCTAGTCACCACCCAATAGAAGCGCTTGGGCCGCCAGGAGATCTAATGTCTACTAAAAGCGAAATCCACGACAGGAATGACAAGACGGTTTGCGCTGCCACCGTTAGCACAGCAGCTAGCTACGCTTACGCTGTTAGTTTCTTTGTGTTGTGACTACCGCCGTTGCGTGTGAGTCTACGCACGGTGCGTTTTCCGGCTGTGCTTGTGTGTGCTGCTGTCATGCTTCATAGTGACGACGACCATCACCGCAGTGAAGTGGCCACAGCAGCCAGCAAATGATCTGTTTTAAGTCTCTCCTTGTTAGTGGCATCCAGCTTATAGACTATGTCGCTATAGACGATAATGTTGCCGTTGCTGGTCCGCTGACTAACAATGAAATATTGATTTCATTGATATGTCGGGTTTAACGTCCCAAAACCATCATAAGATTATGAGAGACGCCATAGTGGAGATCTTTGCAAATTTCGACCACCTGGGGTTCTTTAACGTGCACCAAATCTGAGCACACGGGCCTACAGCATTTTCGCCTCCATCGAAAATCCAGCCGCCGTAGCCGGGATTAGATCCCACGACCTGCGGGTCAACAGCAGCGTACCTTAGCCACTAGACCACTGCAGTGGGGGACAATGAAATATCACCAGAAGTGCTTGAAGAAGATCAAAATCACAGTTGGAAGATTACAGTCGAGATAAGCCGACGCATCACACTGTTCAGGAGGCCGAAACCCTCACTGTCCTCAAGGAGTTCTGTGTCGGTTTTTACGACAGCAAGCGTTCGCACCACCACCTAATGGGGTTGAAGAAGATCCTTCTAGCGCCAATTCCGACGAGGTAGACAAAAATAACAGTTTTTTATAAAATAATGGTTTGTCTAAACAAGAGTACGTTTTCCTTTTGTTTTCATGGTCCATTCAATAATGTGAAATTCGTTGGTATGTGGGGTTTAACGTCCCATGTGAAATTCGGTTAACTAGAACATTTTCACCAGTCCAGTGAGATCCAGGCCAACAAGCTTTTATTGTGGGACTTAGTTGACAGACAGACTACGAGAGCAAAAATAAACAATTTACTGCTCATATTCATAGATTAAAGAAATGTATTCTTTTAAAACAACCAACTATTTCATAATGGCAGTTTCCGTAAAGCACTATTTACAACCAATCATAAGTAGGCAAAAACAGACAGCTTCCTTCCTACCCTGCAGCAGGCTTGCGAAGCGGTGCACGAAGAGGTAAGGCAGGCACAACACTTCGAAGTACTCGTGGTGCCTCTTCGCCCGGAATAGGCGGAGCATTTCTGTTTCGAAGGCCCCATAGTGATGTCCTTTTTTTAACTTCTTTGCCAGATTTGAACCTTTAGGAAGAGGGTGAGCGAAGGAAAAAAGAAAAAAAAAAGCATCTTTATTAATAAATTGTGCTGGTCAGAAAAATAACATTAAAGAAAACAATGAAAATGAGACAGTACGAAGGAAAATGATGCAGCCACAAGAGAGAGGAGCGTAGAGGGGCTTTATCAGCTACATTTAAGACTCTCAAGAAACTAAACGCCTAATTATCACCAGAAGAATGAAAGAAGAAACAGGGAGGGGCATCCATCCTGTTTCTTCTTTTGGTGGTGGTTCGGTGTCTAGTTTACTCCAAGTGATCAACCAACTGGCCCAATACAAGTTCGCTACACCTGTCTGACATTTGAAACAGCATACAGTACACGATTCCCCTAATATTTGTGATTGCCAGCTTGAAGGAGTACGCGAAATTTTCTCCAACGCATACAAATCATTAGTGAGACTTCTGGCTCCTAATAGCATAGGCATAATCTGTTGAACTATCTAGATGTAGAAACAACATTACCTGGTTCTGTCGCTGCAGAGGCACCTATAGATGTTCGTTCGCCTTTCACGAACAGAAGAGCGAAAAATCTAGATAAAGACATGCAAACCTGGGTCATACAAATGCACCAGCACTACTCCCTAGGTAAACTATACAAACATATCAAAAAGCTACATACATCGGTTGGCAACTGCAATGCCAGCCATATAGAGTTGAGGTAAGGAAGAATTACATCGTCCAAGTCGTAATACTTCTTGCGGCGCTCCACCGCCAAGTTGTACAATGTCAAATGAGTAATGTCCATCCTGTAAAAATAATTTGAAATATCTCACCTGAAAGAAGAAACACTTCTGAACATTCCTACACTTGCAGATGAGTGGGCTGTACAAGTGCATCAACTTCAAGCGTGCTAACTGATCCAGATCCCGATTTAATTTCTTGGATCCATGCTCCCGTGGAATGGCCCATACATGAATGCCAACAGTATTTCATAGGCATACTTAACATAAACATGGTTACAAATACAAATACCCCCCCCCCCCCCACCAATTCAATTGATGATTGATTGATTTGTGTGGTTTAATGTCCTAAAACCACCATATGATTATGAGAGACGCCGAAGTGGAGGGCTACGGAAATTTCGACCACCTGGGGTTCTTTAACGTGTACCCAAATCTGAGTACAGGGGCCTGCAACATTTCTGCCTCCATCAGAAATGCAGCCGCCACAGCCGGGATTTGATCCCACGACCTGCGGGTCAGCAGCCGAGTACCTTAGCCACTAGATCACCGTGGCGGGGCCCCCCACCAATTTAAAACTGCCACACAAAGCATTGATATTTACAGCAAGTGTAACAGAAAATAAAATAAATGAAAGAAAGGGCATTGATTGAAAAACCTGCTTTGTTTAGATGCAACCATTTGAAATCAACCAATAAAAAAAGAAAAAAAGTAAACAAAATGTTTTTTGCACAATGCATAACCGATAGCACAGTGCACTGAACAGTGTACACAGCTATCAAAAGAACCACCCCTTGTTAAAATATGAGGCCATAACACAGCAAAATCTGTCAACCCAATAGGTTAACAGTAAGCATAGCATCACACATAAGTGATTCACTATATGGTTGACATGGCAACTAGATTTCCATTCAACAATAACAAAAGTGAATAACTGGACAAACCAGGTTAGGGGCATCCGCTTGACAACTTCTGGCCCATTATTGCACACAGAGCATGTAAAGTAGTAAAAGCTGTCACCATATAGCAATGGGGTTTCAAGGCCTTGAATGCAAGCTGAAAAATGAATGTTTTGGCATGTAATCGAATTATGCATTGTTTTGTAAAAGAAAAAATAATCTGGCTTATAGTAATCTATGAAATGCTGGTCATACATTGACACTCAATTCCTCTGGCGGTTTCAAATGACCTTCCATCCACATAAATAGCACAAAGCCCAACCTGACTAGATGTCTCGTAACATCTATCAAGTGCAAAGTTGCTTACTTTTCTTTCCAGTCAATTTATTACGTCATCCCCCCGACACCAGAAACTTTCTATACTTTCCCCATGTACATCAAAACAGAGTTCGACATAAGCACTGTAGCAGTAGCACATTTTGGCATGTTGGAAGCCTTCCTAAAATGATTTGCACAAATTAAGCAGAAGCGAGAATTAGCCCACTTGAAACAATCCTTCCCAGACTTGCTCACCTACAACTTGAAATGAATGCAGTGAGAATGAATGCATATCAACTGCCGCAGAGACATGATAGCACCGGCACATTCTCTGGACAAGCCATAGCTCTCATCCTGCACCCTTCCTAGTTGTCCTCGAAAGTCTGCTCGCTGCTTACAGTGGTCTCTTTCAACTTGCCTAATTCACTATTCTTTGCAGCTTGTCGGCAGCCTTGGTCTCTTCTTAATGCACGAACTTTAAAGCAGTCATCCCATGCTCATTTATAGTGGCTCCGATCCAAATGCATCATTCTTAGCATAGACCACCAAAAATACTTAGCAGAGGCATTTGCCAGGCATTAACAAGTTTTTACTGACAATTAATCTTTCTATCTAACTCTTTTATTACCATGTCTATTAAAATTGAACACCAGTAATCAATGCTTTTAATAGTTAATTATGGCACACTGAATTCGTTTCTTGAGCATCAAGCACTTCCAAGTGGTTATTCCAGACACTGAACTTTCAAAATCAGTTTGAATTCGTCAACTTTACCAACATACTGTTTTTCGACAGACGTGTGTCCGAAACAATGTGTGCATATTGTTGGGAAAGGGCACTTGGCGCACCACCAGTCGTAATGCTTCAGTAATATCAAGGTTCTGTAATTAAACATGCCCTTGCAAGTCAAATATTAGGTTATGGTGCCGTCTTTGCAATCTAACAGAGCTCATTGCAGGTTTCATGTTCATTCACATGACAAAAATTCAAGGATTTTTAAGGACTTTCAAGGCTATGTGTGCAAATCTTTAAGGACCGCATTGTTTGTTGGAAACCCAATTAAAACATGTTCAGGGAAGGATAAAAGCCTGAAATAATTTTCATTTAATTCATCGAAAAAGGGTAACATCACTGAAGCAGATGTCAAAAACATGGCTCCAGTGACATTTCCTTTCAAGAAAACTTTCAATCCTAGTTTCTTAAAGTTGTATAGGCAATCACTTACAGTATGAAACAAATGGCAAACTTTTATTCAGATAGAAGAAAACTAAAGAACAGTTATTACGCAATGCCTCGTTGCTTTTTCTAAATTTTCTTAACAATGTCCGCTATCTCCTGCCGCTTGGTCTTGACAGTCTTCTTAAGGTTGTTTGACTTGGTGATGCACGTACGTCAGGTCACTAATTATCTCTGCATTTTCTGCATATACGCCTGCTCTAGCTGTTAATTCTTCAACAGCGGCTTCTTACTTTTTTTTTTTCATGTAAGCCTTTTGACCTCTTCCTTAATGCGACAGTTGTTTTTCCATTTCGCATCCTCCTGCTCCAGAATTTTCTGAGTTTCCAGAAATGCACGGTGTCGGCTCTGTGCATAAGCGACTGATGTTCTAAATTCTTTTAAGATGGGCACATTACATATGCACCCTGCTACATTTATGGCATCGCAAATAATGCGCTGTAAAATGTCCAACGTTTACTAAAATTAAAAAGAAATCTAAGGATTGTCAAGGATTTGCACAAATTTCAGCACTTTCATGGCTTAGAAAAGGAACTGTTAAATTCAAGGGTTATCAAAGATTTTAAGGACCTGCATGAACCCTGTGATCAATAATAACTGCCCGAAATTTGTACCAGCTGCTGACTATAGAGCTGTTGTTTTGGAGTCTGGGAAGCTTTGTTTCACAAAAACTTATTTCCGCAAGTATGTTGCACGTATAACGTGCACAGGTGGACTTTACAACCAGTTTCCAGCTGAGTTAACTTTCGCTTCTTTTGTTAAAACATACAGATAGGCACATGAAGTTTCGCTAGCCGTTCCCACATGCCCATTGGTGTCCACATAGACTGTGAGAAACGTTGTGCCGCTCGAAATTATCTTGCAACTGCACGTGAACAGAGTGACGAGGAAATGAGCTTTGAGTCCGAAGATAACAGCACCTCTGAAGCAACAATGTTTTCTGTCAGCCTAGGACATCCACAATTGTACAGTGGTTGGTTTCATTTGTGGCCTCAAGTGGCCTTCTCTGCTGTACGTGCGTAGGTGCTGACCTTTGTACACAATCTTAAGCTACTGTAGTTACGCGTGCGAAATCCCCATATCACTCGACGGCGATGTGCTGGCGCCGGCTGCAAAGCTTCTCTTCACACCAAGAAGGCCACCCAGAGCACATGTCGGCCCCACACTTCTTAGCGGCACAAAACCGTCCCCCCCCCCCCCCCCCCCTTACCTTTTCCCCGATAGCAGTGGTGATCAATACTGTTTGCTAAAATATATATAAATAATATGCTTAGATGCATATTTCGGAATGCCTACTTAGTGGAGAGAGGTCGCTCATGGTAAAAATTGACGCCCTATGGACTGGTGAAGTCAACTGGCCTTCTGATGTAATAGGCATTGTTCATATCTTCTGCAACCACGTAGAACATTAACAGGCTTTTCTTGTTCAAAAAAAAAAAAATATATATATATATATATATATATATATATATAAATTGTGCGAAAAGCGCATGAGTACACCTGTATTGCACGTAAACCAGGATATGCTTCACTGCATTGCACAAGCATTGATAGTGCCTTGTTTCAGATTTCATTTGTGCATGTTAATAAAAACATTGTGCAAAACATTTATTATTTATTTATACTATTCCTGGGTTGTTCACTTATAAAATTTTACATAATGATTTTTCTGTGCCTTGAATGTTTTTTTTTGTAAATTTAGCATTTTTTTGTTGCTCTGTCTTTCAGTTGACAGCAAAACATTTCACACACACACATATATATTTTTTTTTCAGTACAACTTATATTTTATATTAGAAGGAGCACCGCATTATGCATAATTTGGTATGCTGCAATGCATGCTAGAGTACTTTTCAAACTGGTGTAATATTTCTTACCCACACCTTTGAAAAATGGTCGTAGTAACGACAGAGTTAAGTGTAAAATGCAATTCTTGCAGGCCTATTAGTTGGCTGTTATTATCAAAAGTGCTTAAATTAAATATTTGTGAAAGTTAGTAGCTAGAGTTTTGCTCCAAATTATAAGCTCACGCCAAGGTTTTTATAGTATTATACCTTCATGAAACCACTGTAGGCACGAACGACACTGAAGCATCTTCAAATTCCACCTGAAAAAGTAAGGCAAGGTCATAAATACATAAACAAATGAACAAGAGCAATTTGATCTATCATTTAAATATAAGACATGGCAACAAAGATGACCAAATGAATGCATTCATGTCCCAGTAGTACTTTATGAGATCAACAGTGCGAGCGAAAAAGCCGCAGTATATGCAGAGAGAATGGGATTCAACGTCTAAATCAGTGCAGACCACTTATAATGCAACCGCTTTTTGCGCGAGACCGGTTATAACGTGTATTTTTTTGAGCACCGATATGTCGCCCGTAGAACTCAATGTATAGGCCGACCGTTTATTGCGTAGGCGCACGAAGGAGAATACCGGTTATAGCGTGGAGTTTTTAGGTGCGCGACCATAAAATCGGCGAACGGAGCACGGTCAGCACGGTTTCCCGGAGGCGTTCCCGGCGCGCCAGAACGTTGGGAGTGTGAGCGGGGGAGGGCGCACGAAGAGACCGCCGCGAAAAGTCAAACATTGTGGAGGAGAAGAGAGGGTACAGTAGGGAGGAAGTCGGGGAGACCTTGGAAGGAGGGAGTGTGTTTTCGTCACCGTGGTGACCGTGGCAGCGTCCAATCCGGGTGCGCGCTGCGCGGAGTGGGGAAGAAAAGCGGTAGCATGCTTTTTTTTTTCTCAACCTCCTTTTTTTTGCCTCTTTGGATTTGCTGTGTGCGCTTCGCCGTGTCGTTGCCGTCTGAGAGCCCAGAGCACGTGTGTTGTGTAGCTCCTGTCGCCATGGCGTCGGTGGCGTCTTCAAGCGGTGTGAAAAACGCCGTGCCTTATCACTGGAGATAAAGGAATGCGTCATAAGGGACATTGAGAGTGGCCTGAAGAAGGCGTCGGTGGCGGCGAAATACGGCGTTTCAGACACAACCGTGTCGACTATCTACAAAAACACGGACAAACTGCGGCAAGATTCGTCTTCCCTGTCACGGAAGAAAATACGTACGTAAAAATACGAAGACGTGGACGCAGCGCTGTTCAGGTGGTTTTGCGAAGTTAAGGCTCAGAGCATCCCAGTAAGTGGCCCCATGCTCCAACAAAAGGCCAAGTGTCTCGGAGCTCTTTTAGGCCACGACGACTTCAATCCACAAAACGGGTGGATTCAGCGTTTGAAAGATCGCCATGGGATCAGCTGCAAAGTGGTGTGCGGAGAAAGCGGCGCTGTCGACGACAAGTCTATCGAAGTCTGGCTTCGCTTGAACTTGGAGAGTATGCTGTCGACCTATGCTGACAGAGACATTTATAATGCCGATGAAGCTGGTTTATTTTATAACCTTCTGCCCAACCCCACGCTTGCGCTGAAAGGTGTGGAGATAGGTTTGCACAAGGCTTACCTACTATGCGCAACCGTGTAGGGATGCGACGTCCTCCACTGCCGCTGCATGCGAAGACGTTGCGGCTGGGTTCGTCGTTTTCTCCGGCACAGCGCAGAAACCACGCACAAGGCAGGATAACAACAACATTGGGTTTATTAACCCAAGATGCAGCACAGTGCGACACTCACGGGCTTGCAGGCCGTATAGGGAACTCCGCAAGACCGAGCAAGTACGCTTGCCTAGGGCGCTACGACTCCCGCACAAGGGCCGAAGTCGAACGCTCGAACGAGAAGCCGCCTGCTAAGCAGCGCGTCAACCTCTCGTGGAGGCCTGAGAACATCTGGCGCGGCGAGCGAATCGTCCGGTGCAACACAGCTCGTAAGAGAGGAGGATGTCACGCGCGCCCAATGGGAAATGGCGCTGCGTTGTGACGTAGGCCTGCGCAGCACACCAGCGTAGCGTGCCCGGACATGCCAGCGCGGAGAGAAGCCGACGGTTGACTGGCCCAGACCAAGACGCACCCTGGGAAGCCATCTTGGCGGATGCCGGTGCTTATGCGCACCCGGGCTACGCTGGTGGCGCGCGTGCGGCAACTGGGGAATGAGGCACCAGGTAGGAGGGCGCTCTCGATTCCCACATCCCTCCTCCTAAGACCGAGGCCGCCCTAAAGACGTCGTAATGACAGCATCCACCGACACCGAAAAAACTGAGGTCCAGGTCCATGCCGTCCACGAGATCGTCGGGCGTCCCGGTGTCTTCGTTCGGCGGCGTCTCAGCAGGAGCCTGGGGCCGCGGGAGGGCGGCGGACACCGTAGCAGCGATGGCCGACTTGAATGAAGAGTTTGTGACGAGCGCCGCCACGACCGCCTGAACGGAGTCGGTCAACAGGGCAGGTTGAAGGCCCGGGCCAGGCGGCACCGCCGGAGTGGACATGACCACAGGGGCACCGCCGGACTTCGCTCGGTGAACCCTCGAACGGAGGTGGGTAGTCTCGTGCACCAGCAGGACACCACAAGCGTCGCCGTAGGAGGCCTCAGGAACAGACGGCATCAAGGCACCTCCAGAAGCGTCGAGCAGGTCCGAAAGGGTGCGTCCGCGGAAAGGACGCGGGACAGACTCGGGGTCTAACCCCACCCAGGCTTTGCGTTGCTTGGACCAGCGACGAGTCGACACAAAGGCGACCAGGGCCTCAGTGCCATGTTGAAACGTCCACGTAGCGACTTCACGACGAGGCGCTGTCTTGTTAGCCGGGGCCAGGGGAGCATTCAACGGAGGCAGCATGGACGTGGCCGGTGCCTGCGGAACGACCGAGCGCGCGGTTAGTCTCCCGGGATTTTTCTTAGAAGAATGGGCCATCGAGGAGGACATAACGAATGCTGAGGTGTCGGTGAAAAGCAGAAACGCACTGAAGGTGCAGCCCCGGAGGCGCGACAGGCTGGCTCAATAAAGAGAGCCTCCCCGTCGGTTTGAAGGTTGCGTGAGCCAATAGGGCACACGCTTCCCTTCTCCCGCCGACTACACGGAAGATACCCAGTGAGAGAGTGAGCCACCGGGGAAAGGGCTTTTTTCTCTCGAGCAGACGGGAGTGCTGGGAACTGGGTCGATATTCCGCGCGCAGCGCGTGTAATGGTGTTCCCAGGGAGAAAGCTCGCCAGGTAGCCGTTACTGTTGCTGCTGGATGGGCTCTCGCACAGCAGCTACAAATCTCCGCTCCTTTACATGGAGGGGATAACGTCCCGCTACATGCCAGGGGCAAAAATCAGCTGAAGTACGTTTTCGCAGGTTGTATCAGTGGCGTGGTTTGGAACCAGCCTTATCCCTGTTTCCCTGCGGTTCGGTGACCGCCTCCCCCTCCCTGAAGTCGTTGCTGCGGGCAACGAAAGGTTTGAGGTCGGAGACGTTAACTGGACCGCCGACTGGTCTCCCTTGGAAGTCAGCCAGCTTGTATACCAGGGACGACACTTTGGTGTGCACTCGGTATGGGCCCAACCACTTGGCCGAAAGGGAGGCCGAGATGCCTTTGGCAGCGTCACTCAAGACGTGTTTGCGCCTGAGCACGAGATCGCCGACATCGTAACGGATATCCCGATGCGACCGGTCGTACTGAGCCTTCTGACCAGCTCGCACTTTCGCCAGGTTGGAACGCGCCAGGTCAAGGGCCATGTCCATCCGTGAGCGCAGTTCTGCCGCGTAGCCAGACGGGCTGACCTTTGCGGCGCATGCCTTGCCGCCGCCCCGTAGGACGCGGTCCATGGGGTTAGGCAGCTCTTTCCCAAAGTTGAGGAAAGCGGGCGTGTACCCTGATGAGCGATTGACCGTAGACCGCAAGGAGAAGCCGATCTCGTTAAGACAAGCATCCCAATCCCTGTGTTGCTGCGCAAAGGCTGTCAGCAAGGGCTTGAGGTTCCGGTTGATCCGCTCAGTCGGGTTGCCCTGTGGGTGATACGTGGTTGTTTTATGGTGCTTAATGGCAAAGGCAGCACACGCATCCACAAACACCTTGGCCGTGAAATAGGACGCATTGTCCGTGATCAACTCCGGCGGAAAGCCAAAGCGGGTAAAGACCTCGGTCAACTTGTCCCAGATTACGCGTGCCGTTAACTACCGAAGGGGAAAGAGTTCGACCCACTTCGTGAAGTGATCTGTGACAGCCACCAGGAGAAAAACATGGCCTCTCCGGCTTCTTGGGAAAGGTCCCATAATGCCACAGGCCGCAACCTGCCAAGGCTGTTGGCTGTCGATCGGCTGCATGAGCCCGGGAGGCTTGCCCCCGCGAGGCTTCACGCATTGGCACACGCGGCATGAGCGGGCGTAGTGAAGGGCGTCGCGCTTCATGCCAGGCCAGGTTGCGGAGCGGCACAACTTTTGGAAAGTCTTCAGGCCACTCGCGTGTCCTGCCAACCGCGAGACGTGGAAATAACCTAGGGTGGCTTTCCTTAGACTGCGGGGTATCACCACCTTGAAAGACTCCTGGGGAGCTTCTTCAGATGGGACGTAGCGCAGGAGAACGCTGTCGGCATCAAGCAGGTACGAGTCCAACGTGCCCGCAGCAGCAATACCAGCCTGCGTACGGCACTCGGCGCCAACAGCAATACCAGCTATCTGTTTGCGCCCGGCGGCTTGACCGCCACGCTCCGCTTGGGAGCTCGGCTCTTTGAGCTCGTCAACGATGTGTTGACAAAACGGACTGTCCTGCTGTGCCTTGAGCAGCTCCTCTCTGCTAAAGACGATACCGGCGGACGTGACAGGGTCTATTAGGTATGCGTCCTCACCCTAGGCTGTCGGCTCGAAAGTCACTTCGCCATCGGAGTTCGCGCCTTTCGACCCTTTGGAGCCAGAGGGCCCGGGGTCAACTTGATGCGATTGCTCTCAGGAGTGGCGGACACCGAAACGGGGGCACGCGACAAGGCGTCAGCCACGACGTTCGAACTCCCTTTTCGGTAGCGCACAACAAAGTTGTACCGCTGCAAGGTCAACGCCAAGCGCGCGAGGCGGCCCGAGGGCTCGCGCAAGCGCTTAAGCCAGGTGAGTGCCATGTGGTCCGTTTCCACCACGAATGGCACGCCGTCGAAATAGCAGTCGAACTTCCAGAGAGCAAAAACTATAGCGAGGCATTCCCTTTCTGTGACGCTATAGTTACGCTCGGCGGCGTTAAGTGACCGGCTCGCAAAG